CTTTGATTGTATTGAGGAATGTTCCTTCCAAACCCAGTTTGCTTAGAGTTTTCATCATGAACGGGTGTTGCATTTTATCAAATGCTTTCTCGGCATCTATTGAGATAATCATATGGTTTTTCTTCTGCAGTCTGTTAATGTGGTGTATCACATTGATTGTCTTGCGCACATTGAACCATCCCTGCATACCAGGGATAAATCCCACTTGGTCTGAGTGGATGATCTTTCTGATGTGTTGTTGCATTCTATTGCCGAGAATTTTATTGAGGATTTTTGCATCTATGTTCATCAGGTATATTGGTCTGTAATTCTCTTTCAGTGCTGCATCTTTTTCGGGTTAAGGAATTAAGGTGATGCTGGCTTCATAGAAAGAATTTGGGAGGATTCCCTCTTTTTCGATTGATCTGTATAGTTTGAGAAGAATTGGAAGAGTTTCTTCTGCTGTTTCCTCCCTTACTCTTCCTTGAATCTGCAGTATCTCCACTTTTATTAAACTGTCTCTCCCCGGACTATCAGTGTGCTCCCTGTGGGGAGCAACCCGGACTGGACTGAGTTACTGGAATTAAGACTTATTCTATGCATCTGCTCTCCCACAATATGGCGCTGGGAGAGAAGAAAACAGCTTCCACACAGCTGCCTCCAGTTCAGCCAATAAACTGTAGGACTTGCTCCTGATTGGAGGAGAGCAGCGTACTCGGCATGTGGGCAGCCGAGTTAGGATTGGTGGAGGAGGACTATAAAGGAGGAGAGAGATGGCATGCACCAGGAACATCTAAGGGAACATCTAAGAGGAACACCTGTGCAGCCCCCGAGAGAGCCGGCCGGCGGTGTGCCGCTCCCCCGCGGAAGTGGGGAAAGTGGCCAGGGGGAACCGCCCTTCCACAGAGGTGGAAGGGACGGTAGCCAACCCGGGAAGAACCAGCAGCAAACCAGGGGAGGGCCGAGCAGACAAAAGAACAGCGCAGGGTCCTGTGTCGTTCCTCCGTGAAGACGGGGAGTGACACTCCCTTCCTAGTCCGCCATCTTGCCTCCTCCCCCCGTTTCAGTACTAGTTATAGCATTACTTCACATTGGACAACACATTAAGGACAGATCCCACATGAGAAGTAAGTACACAGTGACTCCTGTTGTTGACTTAACAATTTGACACTCTTGTTTATGGCATCAGTAATCTCCCTAGGCTCTAGTCATGAGTTGCCAAGGCTATGGAAGCCTTTTGAGTTCGTCAACTTCAATCTTATTCCGACAGGGCCCTAGTTGAAGTGGAAGTTCTCTCCTCCCTTCAGAGAAAGGTACCTCCCCCTTTGATGGCCCCGTTCTTGGAAAGGACTTTTAAAAGATAATACATTTTGTTTATCCACAGTGGAGTAATAGTAATAATTTAGAACTTTAACTCAAAACTGAGGAGGTAGTCAGGAAATTATCAAAGAAAGAAACACCCTCCATGTGAAAATATGACAAACATCTCAGGGGCTAAAAATATTGGTGATTGTTTTACAAAATGCTGAAGTTTATTTAAGAGTGATTTCACTATTCTGTATTCACTTGAATGCTCTTTGCAAGTTTCTACACAAGACCCTACGTTTAAATATTTTTAAATTAAGGCCAAAGCATGAAAATCACCATAAAATCCACTTTTCTTCATAAAGAAAAGAAACAAAATTAGCAAGAAAATTTGTCATAAACAATAAATAATCAAACTTGGGGCCAGCTCTGTGGCACAGTGTGTTAAAGCCCCAGCCTGCAGTGCTGACATCCAGTAGGGGCGTTGGTTAGAGACACGGCTGCTCCTCTTCTGATCTGGCTCTCTGCTTTGGCCTGGGAAAGCTGTACAAAATGGCCCAAGTCCTTGGGCCCCTGTACTCACATGGGAGACCTGGAGGAAGCTCCTGGCTCCTGGATTCAGATCAGCTCAGCTCTCATTGCAGTCATTTGGGGAGTGAACCAGCAGAATGGAAGACCTTTCTCTCTCTGGCTCTACCTCTTTCTGTAATTCTGTCTTTCAAATAAATAAAATAATTCTTCAGAAAAAAAAGAATCAAACTTTCATGGTGTTGTGTTTTTTAAGGACTTTTTATTTATGTGAAAGTGATTCCTACAGAGAGAGAAAAGAGGGACACAGAGAGATATTCCATTTGCTGGTTCATTCCACAGATGGCAGCAACCAGGGATGAGCCAGGCTAAAGCTAGGAGCCAGGAGCTTCATCTAGGTCTCCAATGTGGGTGCACAGGTCCAAGCCCTTGTGCCATCTTTTGCTGCTATTCTCAGGCCATTAGCAAGAAGCTGGATTGGAAATGGAGCAGCCAGGACTCAAACCTGAGTACGTATGGGAAGCTAGCATCACAGGTGGCCGCTTTGCCTGCTATGCCACAACACTGGCCACATAGCATTTTAAGTTCTTTAAGGCTTCTATAAAGCTTATCAAAACTCCATTTGATAAGCTTTTTATACTCAATTTGTATAAAAATACAATGATGCTTCTCTACTAATACGTGCTTTAAGAATTTGAAATCAATAAGCTGTTGAAATGTTGGGAATGTTTCAAAGCATGATAAAATAAAGGCACTGACTGAAGGAAGCATTAAAGGTTTTAATTGAATATATCTGGGGAAAGAAACTTAGAACAAATCACAGCCAACTTTATAACTAAATATGGTAGTGAATTTGTGTACACAAAGTATTTTAATAACAAAAATTACTGCTCAGTTGCTGAAGGTAACTGAGTTATTGTAGCTGTGAAATCATAATGCAGTGGGACAGAAGAGCACATTTTGCATTAATCTTGGGTAGGGTGTAAGGTCTTGGATATTTTCCAAAACCCAGAAATAGTCCTCTAGACACAGTGGCTATAAATTTATTTCATCCATCCAAAGAGCCTATGAAATAGAGCTAGTACCATTCCCATTGTGAAGCTTTGAGAAACAAATTCAGATTTTCTCGTGATTTTTCAAGGTTATAGACTCAGTAGTGCTAAGATTAGGTGGTGATTTCATTCCTTCCAGCAAAACTCTAAACAAGGATAACTAACCTGCTGCTTAGAGCTGCTCACCCAACAGTTCTTTGCAGTTTTAAATTTGTCAGTTCAATTTTTCAGTGTTTTCAAATTCACATTAACACCTCAAAGTGACATGTAATGTTAGTGAAACTCATTATTACACTACCCAGAGGAGAAGAATAATGTATATTAAGAAAAACAAAGAACAGATTTTATTATAAAACTCCTATCTCTCAGCAGTTTAATGCTTGATCTGCAACACATATACAATTGTGGTCAGTGATAAGGAAAAGTCTACCCTCAAAATAACTAGAAGCTCTTTTCTTTATCCCAGTCATGCTTTCATTGAAGAAATACTTAACAAGCAACTATTATGTGTTAGATAATAAACAAAATCTTGAAAAAAGGAGTATTTTCTCTTACATTAATTTTCCCAGGACAGATACAGATAAATCAGGATATATAAGTAAAATATATATTATATGTATGTTAATGAAAATGTAGTATAATTGAGTAAAATAAAAGATGGGGAATAAGTAGTTTAGAAGGGAGTATAGCAATTTTGCAAGAGTGTAAACTTTATATCCTGAGAAAGGGTGTGCCTAAGGAGAGGAGAGTAAGGTGGAATGGAACAACAGAGAGAGAGGAAGAGGAGATGAGACAGAGAACTAGGATTGAGGAGCCATAGGTCTTGTAGCCCATTTTAACTAATGTGGCTTTTTTTTTTTTTTTTTTGACAGGCAGAGTGGACAGTGAGAGAGAGAGACAGAGAGAAAGGTCTTCCTTTGCCGTTGGTTCACCCTCCAATGGCCGCCGCAGCCAGCGCGCTGCAGCCAGCACACCACGCTGATCCGGTGGCAGGAGCCAGGTACTTCTCCTGGTCTCCCATGGGGTGCAGGGCCCAAGCACGTGGGCCATCCTCCACTGCACTCCCTGGCCACAGCAGAGAGCTGGCCTGAAAGAGGGGCAACCGGGACAGATCCAGCACCCCAACCGGGACTAGAACCCGGTGTGCCGGCACCACAAGGCAGAGGATTAGCCTAGTGAGCTGCGGCGCCGGCCTAACTAATGTGGCTTTTACCATAAATGAGGTAACAAGACAACTTTCAAGTTGAAGTAACACTGCTTAAAACATTTTAGCAGGTTTATTTTGTCCAAAATACACTAAAAGGGCCACAAAGAAAACACCTAAAAACTGCTGGACTGAAGTAATTATAGTGGAGACCAAGAAGAGTGGCTGGATATTGCAAACATTTTGAAGATAGAGAAGTCTGGAGCAGGTAAAGAATTGTGCTTAGGCTCTGAGAGAAAGATGGAAGAAAAAATGAATCAAGGGTGGGAGGGCAGGTGGGAGTGCAGGTGGGAGGGCCAGTAGGTTGGGAAGAATCACTATATTCCAAAATTTGTATATATGAAATACATGAAGTTTTTATACTTTAAATAAAGGGTTTCTTGGTTAAAAAAAGAATAAAATAAATGTAGCGAAACTATTAAAAAAAGACACAAAGTTTTTTGAAGAAAGAATTGAAAGGAAGAAGCCATCGCTAAGTAATTATTAATTAAATAATTAAAGGATAGCTATAATTTAGGCTCTGAAAACATCTAAACCCCTTTACAGGTGTGGTGTGGTGGAAAACAGCTGATTCCCTGGTAACCTTATAATTATCAGAACCTTTTCAAATTGCAAAAATAAACTTGAGTTTAAAATATCATTATTCATTTATTTTGCAATCATGTTGAAGAAATGTAAAAGGTATAGCGATATTATTTACATGACAGAATGCTTGAGATGGTTTGCAATAACTTTGAGCTATGCCAACAATAAAAGAATCAAATATGAATACACAGAAAGGCAAATTATGCTTACATATTGTTATTAGCAATTTTTAGAGATGAATAACGTGTTAATGTGGCAATTTCAAGTTTCCCAAATTTCCAATGCATAATATACATAGAAAGATAGAGATGGTTCTTTAATAATTCCCTACAATATATTTGACTTACCTATTTGCACTTACTGAATGGCATTGATGAGTTAGTGAAATATTGCTCTAGTCATGAACTAAAAGGAGACAAATGACAAAAGATCAACAATATTGGCTATTAAGTTGGCACAAGAACACATCAGAGGCTCACTGCCCTCCAGGAAGGTGGACATAGTAAAAGTCAATTCAAATTCATTCTGCAAGTTACTCTATCAATATATTTTTCCTTCTCCCAATGTAGATCAAGTTGAGTCTTCAATATTATTTCATACGTATTCAGAACTACAACATGGTAATCTAAGCAGTCATTAACTAAAATACTATTTTTAAAAAATAAATGGAAATTACAAATCATGCCTCTAATACAGTGTAATTTGGAATTATTTTTTACTCACTGGTAGGATTTATTCCACTAAAAGTTAGTAGATGACCTTGTTTTAAAAGTAACATTAACTAAGCTACTGAAATTGGCTTAGTTAAATAGATCTTGTAATGGGAATGCCAGGTGGCCTCACTTCATTTATTGAGATGAATATTATTCACTCTTCCATGATGTACCTGAGGTATTGAGTTTTGGAATAAGATTTGTGAACTGAAATTCTATTAAAATAACATTTCTTTTTAGTATACCTTCTTAAGTGTATTATAACTTTTTCCTATGCTAAGCAAAATTAAAACAGAATTTCAAACTGAAACTTTCTTTTAAGGATAATCAAAGTAATATAATGAAATACTTTCCACACACCATGGGCTACACTACATTCTTGGAGAAAAAGAACAAATGTAACTTAGTTCTTTACCATTAATGTCAAGAAGAGGATTTTTGTCACAGTAAAATTCAGTGTTATGCTTGTATTTGAATTTTATGGCATTATAGCCACACTATTTTTTGTTTTCTCTGGTAAACATTGAATTTGAATCTAGTAAAATTGAATTACTAATTTTATGGTAAAATTTTATCTTATACACATCTAATCAGAATAGGCATGATTTCACCCATACTTCAAGCCATAGCTGAGAAAATTCAAAGTCTTGTCCATCTGTCTCTATTTCTGACTTTTAACCAATTGCTTTGATTTTATTCTCCCTTTTCAGTGTAATCCAATTCCTCACACTTCATGGCTAGACCAACACATACTCCCTTTTCTTGTTTCAATTCTCTGATGAACACAGCTTTTTTCTGGGACACTCTAAGTTTTGCCACTTCTTTTTTTTTTTTTTTTTTTTTTTTTTTTAAACTTTTATTTAATGCATATAAATTTCCAAAGTACGACTTATGGATTACAATGGCTTTCCCCCCATACCGTCCCTCCCACCCACAACCCTCCCCTTTCCCACTCCCTCTCCCCTTCCATTCACATCAAGATTCATTTTCGATTATCTTAATATACAGAAGATCAGCTTAGTATACATTAAGTATGGATTTCAGCAGTTTGCTCCCACACAGAAACATAAAGTGAAAAATAATAGATGATTTTTTTAAATGATGATGAAATCAGAGCAGACCTATTGTCATGTTTAATCCCAGTGAGAGTCAAGTTGGGAATTGATAATTTCTTTCTTTTTTTTTTTTTTTTTTTTTTTTTTTATACAGAGGATCAGTTTAGTATGCATTAAGTAAGGATTTCAACAGTTTGCACCCCCATAGAAACACAAAGTGAAATATATTGTTTGAGTACTCGTTATAGCATTAAATCTCAATGTACAGCACATTAAGGACAGAGATCCTACATGAGGAGTAAGTGCACAGTGACTCCTGTTGTTGACTTTACCAATTGACACTCCTGTTTATGGCATCAGTAATCTCCCTATGCTCCAGTCATGAGTTTCCAAGGCTATGGAAGCCCTCTGAGTTCTCCGACTCTTATCTTGTTTAGACAAGGTCATAGTCAAAGTGGAGGTTCTCTCCTCCCTTCAGAGAAAGGTACCTCCTTCTTTGATGGCCTGTTCTTTCCACTGGGATCTCACTCGCAGAGATCTTTTGCCAGAGTGTCTTGGCTTTCCATGCCTGAAATACTCTCATGAGCTTTTCAGCCAGCTCCGAATGCCTTTAGGGCTGATTCTGAGGCCAGAGTGCTATTTAGGACATCTGCCATTCTATGAGTCTGCTGAGTATCTCACTTCCCATGTTGGATCACTCTCCCCTTTATTTACTCCATCAGTTAGCATTAGCAGGTACTAGACTTGTCTATGTGCTCCCTTTGACTCCCAGTCCCTCCACCATGACCAACTGTGAACTGAAACTGATCACCTGGAACAGTGAGATGGCATTGGTACATGCCACCTCGATGGGATTGAATTGGAATCCCCTGGTATGCTTCCAACTCCACCACTTGGGGCAAGTCAGCCTGAGCATGTCCCAAATTATACATCTCTTCCCTCTCCCATTCCCACCACCATGTTCAACAGGGATCACATTTCAGTTAATTTTCAACACTTAAGAATAACTGTGCATCAATTACAGATCTAAACCAGTCATATTAAGTAGAACAGATAAAAAAAACTACTAAGAGGGATAATGTATTTAGTTGTTCATTAACAGTCAGGGCTATGCTGATCTAATTATTGAAAGCAGTCCCTTTTACTGGCCCCAGGATGGTTTATTTTCAGGGGACACATTGCATTGCCATCTTACCTATAGTGGTTCAGTATCAACATGGTTACCTTATGGTTCCAAAGCCTTTCAGTGACCAAAGAATAAAATCTCACATCAGATTCAAAACCTTTGATGATCTTACCAGAATCTCCTTTTGAAACTTCATTTAGTGTATGTTCTCATTTTTTATTTACTTAAATAATTCTCCATCTTTGATTTTTTATGTTCCACTCAAATTCCTGAATTTCATATTGTCTTTTCTAATCTTCTACATTCTGATACTCCTACATTTCTGATACTTCTACATTTCCTTTGAGCCATAGTGATTATTTATTTATTTGGGGGGGGGGTAAATTTGGCTCTAACAACGGTACTTTCCTCATATCTCATGTTTTGACTGAAGACAATATTGAGTAATTTGTAATAGTTTGGACTCTGTTGTCATAATGGCTTAAGGTTGAACACTACTTATTCCAAAGCATCCTACCACTTAAACTCTCTTTATTTCTCTTTATTATACAACATTCCTCAAAGCAACAAAAGCTTATTAGCCACAAAGAAATAATTAGGGAACAGAAAGAAGTACTAGAAACCAAAAAACATCAGGTGATACTTCAAAATTACTACCTGCCACTTCTCTCCTACTGGTAAACCTTTGCCCTTCTGATGATAAATATTATGCCTTCAAAAGATGGGATTTGGGACTACAATATAAAATTTTTTACATTATCAAATATACCACAAAGAATGTGGCAGTGGGATGGATGGAACAGTATTCCCCCAGGTCCCCAATAGGCCAACTGTTGGGGTAGTTAGAGGAAATTTTTACTGTAATGAAATTCTCTCTCATCAAGGCGACCGGGGGGCTAAACAATTTCATCATCCTTAAATTTTTTTTGTCTTATTTAGGACAAGCCGAGCAGACAGTGAGAGAGAGAGAGAGAGAGAGAAAGGTCTTCCTTTGCCATTGGTTCACCCTCCAATGGCTGCCGCGGCCAGCGCACCGCGCTGATCTAATGGCAGGAGCCAGGTACTTATCCTGGTCTCCCATGGGGTGCAGGGCCCAAGCACCTGGGCCATCCTCCACTGCACTCCCTGACCACAGCAGAGAGCTGGCCTGGAAGAGGGGCAACTGGGACAGAATCCGGCGCCCCAACCGGGACTAGAACCCGGTGTGCCGGCACCACAAGGAGGAGGATTAGCGTAGTGAGCCGCGGCGCTGTCCCAGGGTGGCTCTTATTCATCACAGCAGTGTCTCCTTCACAAAGGCTGTGACTCTATTTTCTAATATTCTCTGAACTTAAATCAAGTGAATATAGTCACACAGAATTCTCCTCACTAGACCTTCCTAAAGTCAGTTTACCATCTATTTTATAAGGGAAACACATTCACAGACATACTAAATTTAGATTGGTAGGAACTATGAAAAAGCAATATATTGGTGAACTGGAAGAGCATTGGGACTTAGGCATCTTTCTCTCAAACCCTACACCTGGAAAAACAATATGCCTAGTATGCAATGAGCAAATTAAATAACTGAATTAATTATTTGATGGGAAATTTAAATAATATATATCCTACTTTACATCTGTCTTCCTGCTGTAAAATCTCAACAATTTTAATAATGATGAAAAGTAGGGTTTTACAGCATTCTACAATTTGTAATGCAGGATTATTACTTATCTTTCAGGTCACTGTCAGATTCATTAGAGCATTTTAAATAAATATTCTTACCAGGCTAGGTAAGCAATAGATAATAATCTAAATAGTACCAACTCAATATTTATGGAAAAAATGTTCTTTACAATAGAAGCTCAAACTATATATTAAAGATATCTGATATATTTGATAAATGAATCATTCAAGATTACTACACTGTAGTTTATAACTACATAATGAGCCAATCCTACCAACTTTTATTTTATTTCTTGTTGCATAAGTCACATATCAATCTGTTTTCTTTGAGGAATCACTATACATGGTAATTATAGCATATGGCATCTTAACATTTCTGTCATCTAGATGATATGTTTTGAATTTCTGATTCATTTCTGAACAAATATTCCTTGGTAATAGCTTGAAAGAAATAGTTTCTGGAAAAGAAATTAAATGAGCATGTGCAAAATTTAAGAAAGTAAAACAGTCAGAAAGTTGCACATCTCTTTATTCAAAAGTCTGTCACGAATATTCTTTGTCCCATTTTAGTTGTTTAGTTCTTTTTCTATTACTCAAAATTTGCACAAAGCAACATCTGCATTTAGGAAAAGATATTCAAAAAACACCAGAAGAAAAAAAAAACCTGACAATTTAAAAATTTCCCAAAAGTAAAGTTTCGAAATATCATCTTTGATCATTTCCTATGACCACTTTAAGTAACTTCTTCATTTAAATTCCTACTGTTAAGTTCCCTAATGAAATAATACTTGCTGATAAAACTACACAGGAAAAATACACAAAGTGAATAAAATGTATTAACGTAAA